ACAACAGCAAACAAACAAGCACTCATGAAGCAAACAGCCAGTATTCACTCTTAGGCAATGATCATCTGGCTTCCCCGTTGCGTGCCGCTGCGCGCGTCGTCTGGGCCACCCTCTGTGCAAATGCAATGGCAAAGGCGCGAAGTTCACATTGAACGGGCGACTTCTCTTGATTCGTCTCTGAGCCTGTGTTGTTCTATGCTTTCAAAGTTGATTCTGATGATCTGAAGGCGTTCGGGAAGTCCTGTGATCGTTGAACACATTCCCCCAGTGCGTGAACACGCATCGACCGTTTCAGCCAGGTGCGTGGGGTTGGACGCTTGTTTTCATTGGTGCCTGCTCGCTGCGTGTGGGTTCACTATGATTCAACGCTTTTCGATAAAGTTTCTATGATATGGTGTTATTCTGCCGTCGCTTATTGCTCTGTAGTGAATGTGAAAAGATTTTGCTGATTTTACTGGCTCCCAATGCGATTCCAATGTTTGTTGCGCTGTTTTCATATATTCTGAGCGTTTTTTTGTTCAAGCGTTTTGCATGCAAACCATTGTCTTTGGCTTCGTTTCAAACATGTTTGCTCGTTTTAGTGATTTTCAATGAATGTTGCTTAGTTTTCAAGTGTTTGATTGCTGTTTGCTGCATGTTCCAACTTTTCCCATTTATTTTGCTAATGTCTGTCCTGTTGCCCTCAAGTGCGTGCCAACACCCTCGAACGCGCTCCCGCTCGCGGGGAACTTGCGGGGAACTTGCGGGGGCGCCGTCTGGACCTTCAAAATTATCAAAAACCATAGAAATATTAAACAGAATTCAACACAACTTGAAAACGCATGAAAAAGCTTGGAAATCATTGAAAATCATTGAAAAACCATGAGAATCATAGAAACACATTAAAAAATTGAAAAACATTGAAAATCTTTGAAAACCTTAGAACAAGTTTGAAAATCAGTGAATTTGCTTGAAAAGCATTGGAAAACATTGAAAATCATTGAAACAGCTAGAGAATCATTGAAAGTCACGGAAAATCTATGAAAATCATTGAACAAGCTTGAAAAAGTTAGAAAATCATTGAAAAGAATTGAAAATCATTGAAAACATGTGAAAAAGCTGGAAAATCATTGAATTAGCTGGAAAATCATTGAACAAGCTTGAAAATCATTGAACAAGTTCGAAAATCATTGAACATCATTGAGAATCATTGAAAAAGCTTGAGAATCATGTGAAAACTTGAAAATCAGTGAACAAGTTCGAAAAACGTTTAAGAATCATTGAAACAACATGAGACAAACTTGAACAACCATAAGAAAAAAAATAATAATAACAAACACCAGATCATAACAGAACGCGTTGAATTACATAGGGAACCGTTGCGCTCCGTCGAACCGTCCAGACATTGCTGAATGGCACCTTCTACATTGTGGATGTGTGTTTTGAGGGAAATGATGGCTGCCCCGGCTGCCCCCGAACAGAAGTGCGATTCACATTTCATTGTTCCTCCCGAAGGCATTGTGGCCCAAACCGATTAATGAGCAATAGATTAGCAAGATGGAGAGCGCGCCTGCGCGCCCACTTCCACAGATAACCACGCGCTAGATGGAGAGAGCAAGCCTGCTTCTGTTTCGTGGCCTCACGATGCGCGGCCATTGGGGCCGGCGAGCCAAATCGCTGATAGTCAGATGCCACCGCCGCCAAGGCCAGTGCTGTCTCCATCCCAAGGCCTCGGCAACGACATGCCGAGATCAAGATCGCGTTCACCGCCAGCCGGCAACGATGACTTCATGTTCGACGAGGAGATGGCGGGGCTGGAGATCAGCCTCAGCCAGGTCAGCGGGTGCAGTGCTGAAGTCGGTGGTGAGCCGTCATTCGATGATCGTGGCGGCAACGGCGCCGATGAGGATGACAGCTTCTTTTCGAGCGAGAAAGAAAAGAGAGCGGTTGAAGTCATTGCTTCGGACTCCGACTTTGACGACGTTCATGGTCCGTGGGGCACGGAGTATCTTAAGTTATTGCAGAAGAAGCTTTCCACGATCAAGGGCGGCTGCAAGAAATGCAAAACGATGACGAAGGATCTCCCAGCTGGCCCCGCCGCGATTCAAGAGTTCAACCAGCGCACGAAGGATTGCTTGGACACTGCATTCCGTGGGAAAGAGGGCGGCTTGCGCTTGACTAGGGTCCGCGGCCTCCTCGAGTACGGCGTTGCCGCGCACGCCGACTTCAGCGGGGCGCAGGGCCCAGAAGCCGCATTGTACATGCTCAAGAAGGTGCCCGAGAACCTCGGACTGAGCAACGAGGGGCTCATGTTATATCGCGCATCGGAGCAGGTGCCAGCGTTGAGAGACATCATCTTGAGCGAGGATAACCCCGCGAGGCCTGCCCACGTGTTCAAAACGGTCGAGATGATACATCAGAACGACTTGAAGGTGGGACTGCCAAAGTACCCGAAAGGCGCATCGGACAATGAGATCATGGAGTGGCATAAGGACTTCAAGGAGTTTTTGCGCGAGAACTTTTGGGGATTCTACATGCGGGGCCAGACAAGTCCGAACTGCTTGATCCACCCAGGCCAAGACGTCGCTGTTCGTTATGGCGAAACGCTTGAGCAAGAGCACGAGGTCAATGAGAAGTTCAAGCCCTTGACTCTCAACTGGGGTTCGCCACCATGCACCCCGTGGTGTCCAGCTGGCAAGAAGAAGAAGCTCACTGACAAGTCGATCCCAGCGTACGAGACGTGGCTCGAGGAGGCGAAGCACTTCGACCTGGTCTTCATGGAGCAATCGAGTCGCTACCCGCCGGAGCTGTTCGAGGAGGCGCTGACGAAGACCCACGTCGTCGTGCACTGCAAATTCGGGCCCAATGATCTCGGATGGCCAGTGCAGCGGAGTCGCTTCAGGGCCGCGGCGATTCGTCGCGACAAGCTTGTTTGGGCTGGGCCTCTAGACGGTACTAAGATCGTTGACGTGACGGACGAGTTCTTGCATATCTTCCGCAAGAAGGTGGTTACCACAGCAGCGGTGTTTGCCAACATCGACTCCGAACACAACATCGAGAGTGTTCGCGCGGAGCTCGCGGCAACGAAGGGGACCGACTACGACAAGGGAGCACCTATCTGGAGTGATCTACCTCCACATGCAGTCGACCACTTCCTCGGCTACCACGAGCGGGCAACCAAGATATGCGAAGGGTCAGAAACCATGGTGGCGGACGTGACCTCCAACCCAGTGATGCGCGGCGGCCGCTTGGGCCACTGGATGCCGACGATCCAGAAGAACTCCAAGATGATGCAGCTCAACGTCATGGACACCAACAAGGGACACATCTTCACCCCGCGCGAGCTCTACTTTGCCAGCGGCTGGCCAGTGATTCCAATGCCGCCGGAGACGTCCGTCAGGTTCAGCTTCTTCTCAAGCATCTTCAAGGAGCGTCCATCGGTCAGAGCCAACGCCCTCGGCAACGGGATGCACCTGGCTTGCGAGGAGGCGCGGTTCATCTACGTGGCGAGCCACACCATCAGGAGGGACGTCCTGTCTTCGATGGTCCCACCCTTGAGCACGGTGGCGACCCCGAGCAAGGAAGACGACAAGGGCGATGAGCGCGGCGACCAGGACTAGGCCGAGCCTCACTAGCATCACAGCGCTACGCGCTACAGCATGGCCCGTGGACGAGCCGCCAGGAGCTATGACAGAGTCTCTAGAACGGTGGCGTTGCGAGAATCGGTTTGGAGCAAAATACTCCTCATAGGCGGCTCCTGCCTGCGATCGATGTTGTTGCATCGTCCCTTCGTCTCATCTGGTCCTGAGAGCCTCTTGAGGAATGGTTTGACTTTCGCAATTGCTTCGAGCTCAGAGGTGATTTGAGCAAGCTTTACAAAGAGGAGGAGGAGCGAGGAGGAGGAGGAGGAGGAGGAGGAGGAGAAGGAAGGGGAGGGAAGGGAGGAGGGGGGAGGGGAAGAGCAACAGCGAGGGATAGAAAGGGGGGTAAAGGATTGAGGGAGGCCGGACATATAATAAGGGAAGGCTGACACCAGAAGGGGAGCGTGGAGCCGTTTAGAAGAGCAAGAAGCGCCAGGGGCAGGAAGATGAAGAGGTGGCGGAGGGATGGAGGCTGAGGGGTGGAGCACGGAGGAAGAGAACAGACAAACGAAGATGAACGAGCATGGAGGGAGGATGAGGAGGGAGAGGGAGAATGGGTGAGGGAGGTCGATGCTTCTCTCTGCCTCTCTCCAGCCACCGCTCGTGCCCGCCGCCGTCCGCGGCCCCGACCCCTCGTCGTCAAGTTGATGGTGGAGAGGCCCGGCCCGCTGCTCCGTGCGTTGGCGCGCGTGCGAAGCGCTCCCACTGGTCTCATCCTTCTCCACCTCCTCACCGTCGTCGTCATCTTTCTCCTCCTCCCCTTCCTTCTTCCTTCTCCCCCTCCGCCCCCTCCCCTCCCCCTCCTACTTCACCCAATCCTCCTCGTCTGAACCATCTTGCCCTTCTGAGAATGTGATAGCCTACCGTCTCCCGTTGACTGCCTACTCCACCCGATCCCGATCTCCTCTTCCTATTCCTCCTCACGCTCGTCTTGGGCATGTGAGTGAGCGAGTCGCGGTTGGGTCAGTGTTAGCAGCGGCTTCAGGTTTGACAGGTCTTCAGGTCAAAACGGAGTCATGTTCTGGGTTGCGTCCACGTGCCCGCAGACGCCAGCACCGCCCTCAACAGTGGCAATTGGGACCCCAACACCAACACCAATACCAACACCAACATCAACACACCAATACCAAGGCCAACACCAACACCAACACCAACACGCGGCAGACGGAATATCAGCAGCACTCAGCACACCAGCACACCACAACAACCATCAACGGCAATCACCATAAACAACCATCAACAACACCTGGGATCCTTGGATCTGCTCTGCGTGGCGTGTGCCACTGCGCTGCTTTGCTGCTGTCGTAACACATTTAGGCTCAAACCAAGGAGCTCACACTTTGCCTGGCTTGCCGTTTACCCTGATTGCGTCACCTGAGGATGTCAACAGCAGATGGTGACGATGTGAAAATGGAGTCTGGTGGTGTTGCTGCGGCAACACCAGAGAAAGCCAAGGACGTCAACACCCCAGGGAGCGCTGCGAGCCTTGGCAAGCACAGCGCGCCGTCAGACTCTCAGAAGAACGACTTTGCTTTCAGCGACGACGATGCTGGCCCTGGCGAGACTAGGAAGGATGCAGCTAAGCGCACAGTCTGGGCGGCCTTGACTGAAACAGCCGATGCTTCTGATGTCGAGCCTCCTAAGAAACAGACGAGGAAGACTGCAGCTCAGAAGACTTGCCCACTTCCGTCCTGTGATGAGGGGATTGAGGGAAACAAGAAGTTCTGCAAGAAGCACCACCGGATCTACGAATGCTTGGAGCGACGCGCGTTCAAGGCGGTCGACCATAAGAAGCCCGAGACAGAGACCGATGAATCAAAGTCCTTCAAGCAGATCTTCGGCTTCAAGCCAGGGAAGAAGGGTGGCGTGTCAATAGAGCCCAACTGGGAATTGGCTGATACGGTGATGACTGACATCCTCTCCAAGAACCCAGACATAAATGAGCCCCTGGCCGCGAAGTCCACGAAGGCGCGTGGATCTGACGCCAGGCTTTCCAGCTACATCGAACGCAAGGGCACTGAGCGGAGCAACTCTGATTTGTCGTCCAGGCCCAAGTGGGACAAGCAGATCTTCGCCAAGAGAATGATGGCCCTTCGACCCTGGAACGAAGAAAGGTGCAACAGAGAGTGGGCAGCTATCGAGCTGGATACGCCAGAGGAGCACAAGGACAACCGAGGCCCTCCAGAATGTCCGCTCCGCCTCCCGATTCCAGCGTGGATGGTGGGGGAAGACAAGCTCGAGCAGAAGACGACGAACTACCACACTCAGGAGATTGCCACAACAGCGGTCAAGGGAAAAGCCATGGCCACTTCAGACATCGACAAGGCGGTGAAGGACTGCACGAAGGGCTTCGCTCCGCTGTCGCAGGCCAGTACCTCAGCTGCAATGCAAAGCGCATCGGCCAATGCCATCAATGCTACAGGTGACGGCGGCCAGCAGGCGATGGAGGTGATGATGATGCACGGGGTCAGACCACAAGCAGCAACGGACAAGACCAGCACTGGTGAGGGATCTCAACGAGGCGATGGGTCGGCGCCAAAGGCGAAGCTCGCCGGGGGCCGCGGGCAGGTTGCAGTTGGCCAGGCCCGCTTCGACGTCGGCGTCACCAGGCTCACGGTCGCAGAGACGCAGAAGAAGGCTTTGGGTCAAGAGGAGACCAAGCTGTTCAAAGCTTTGGCAGCAGCCTGCAAGACAAGCGCCACTTGCCCCAGCGCAGACAAGGAGCAGATGTCACTCTTGCGGGAACGGATTTTGCTTGGCAGCCTCGTCCTCGACAAGAAGTTCGACTACGATGAGAGCAGCAGCACCGTCACTGACTCCGACCTGGGGATGGACGAGCTGTTCACCAAGGACAAGCAAGCGTTCAAGGAAGAATGCATCAAGGAGGGGAAGACAGAGGACAACGTCGAATTCCCTGAGCACTTGTTGGACCTTGGCAAGTATCGCGACCACTACCTCCACTTGAAACTTCATGCAGCAGTCCTGTTGCCCGTTGACGACAGGGACCAGATCGTTCGTATGGCACGCGTGATGGAGCTCTCACAGCAGATCCGTATTGCGACCACCGCTAAGGAGATCGAGGGCACCGAAGCGAAGATCGAGGACTTCAAGATCAACCTTGAGCAGCTCCGCAAGGCCATCGTCGACATTGCCAAGGTTGCGAAGACATCCCACAGCACGGTCTCGAGGAAGGCGGCGGCCAAGCAGATGGAGCAGGAGAGCAAGGCCAGGGAGGATCAGCTGGCCGCAGCTTCAGCGGCCTCGGCGAGCTTGAGAAAGCAGATCACTTCGCTGAGGAGCTCGGATTTCCCAACTGCACCCGCCAAACAAGCCTATCCCTCGCCGCTCTCTTCAAACCTCAGCCCCAAGAGGGCAATGGAGAAGAGAGTGGGGAGGGAAGATGCTTGATTTACGGATGCAGTTGGGAGCTCCCCAAGGAGTCTTTCGTCTGGCGTCTTTGCGATCGACTGGTCTAGCCTTGGTTGTGAGGCGGTCAATACTTACCAGGATGAGGCGGCTTTCGAGAAACAGCTTGAGGGCTCGGCGTCGAAGGAGATGCTGGACATCCCCTTCAAGCTGCTGGCGAGCTCCGCCGGTGCTGCAGCCTGCGCTGTGCCAGAGATCAAAGCGGGCCTCGACAGGTACAAAGAGAAGTTCCCAGCTAAGGCGGGCGAGAGGGGGGACAAAGCTTCGGCGCCCGTGCAGGAGTCGCATGGCCTCGCGCGAGTCGTGTCGATCTTCGAGAAGCTGGCGCCGCTGGCGCAGCGTGCGGACATCACGAAGCACCCCGTGGTGCAGGCGGCCACGGAGCGGGTCTGGTTCATCGGCTACCTCCCGACCTACGTGGACATGAGTTTCGAGGCGGAGCTCTTAGGCTCTGTGAAGTACATCGTTGAGGGCAGCATGAAGGTGGTCTACTTCCACGGCGGCCAGCTCATGGATCAAGTTCCACACGTCCAGGGTACGACATTCCTCGAGCGGGCGACGACGCTCTTGAAAAGCATCGAGGCTGACAAGGCCAAGGAGTTCATTTCAGGGAAGGTGAGCTGCTTCGTCACGACGATCAAGGCAGGCGAGATGATGTATGTGCCGCCTGGGTGGTTCACGGCAGCTTCGTGCCTGCCGAGCGGACCAAAGACGGTGGGGTTCAAGAAGCTGGTCTTGTTGCAGCGCAGTCGAGCAATGAACGACCTGGAGAAGCTGCTCACGGGTCAGTCGTTGAAAAACGACAGGGTGCAGGCGGCCTACGACATTCTCTACGCGGGCGCCGCTGGCGCCGCCGCCGCGCCCGCCTAGTCACTAGTCGCCTAGCCCTGGAGCAGAAGCGGGCAGGCCAGGCAGTGAGCGATGGCACAAATGCCTTTCATCCTGGGCTCTCGGCTCCTCTCCGTCATCCCTCCTCCCCCCCCGGACTCCGAGCTCCTGGACTGAAATCCTCTGGGTCTGGGCCCCTTCTGGACTCTGAACTCCTGGACCCCCGGACTCTGGAGTCCTCTGGGCTCTCCCTGGACTCAGGACTCAGGGCTCCACTGATTCCTCTTCTGGATAACAAGCCGTTCGGTAGAATCGAAGCACCCCCAAAGGTAGAACAGGGAGGAGAGGCAAGAGGAAGAGGGGCATCAGGCATCAAAGCAGCAGCAGTGGCAGCAAAGACGCAACAAGAGGAATGAACAACTAATGAGGAATAGGAGGAACCGCGAAAAGCGGAGGAGCAGGAAAGGAGAAGACAGAAGAGCAATGAGAACACAGGAGAAGGAGGGAGTGAAAGAGAGGAGGACCAGGAGGAGAGCCGAAACAGAAAGCAGAGAGGGGGAAACTATGTTTCGTCCTCCTCATCCTCTTCTGTCCTCGCTCTTCCTTCCTCCTCCTTCTTCTTCCCTCTTCCTTCCTTCTCCTCCTGCTGTTCCTCCTCCTCCCTCCTCCTTCCTGCCTCATTCCCCCTTCTTCTCCCCCTCCCTTTTTTCCTCCTGCATCCTCCTTCTGTCGCGAGGCTGAGTGGCTCAGTCGGTATCAAGGTTGGCCACGTGGGGAGCGAAACGCATGAGGGATGATGCGCGAGGAAAGAATGAGTTCCTGAGAAGCTCGCATACGAGGCAATCGGCTCAGTGCCAAGCCTCTTGGCGGGGGGGCACGTGCGCGGGGCTCCAACAACGTTGGTGCAGGATTTGCCAGTCGGGTCGGGTCGGGCGGGCGGACCCTCACGGGCAGGTCGGGTCGGGTCGGGCGGGGCATTAAAGTATGTTGCATCAGAGAGTTGGCACGCGAGTACCCTAACGGGCGGGACGGGTCGGGTCGGGCGGGCGGACCCTAACGGGCGGGTCGGGTCCGACCCTAACGGGCGGGTCGGGTCGGGTCGGGTCGGGCGGGACATTAAAGTATGATGCATCATCGAGTTGGCACGCGATTACCCTAACGGGCGGGAAGGGTCGGGTCGGGCGGGCGGACCTAACGGTCGGGGCGCGTCGGGCCAGGGGGCGGACCCTGACGGGCGGGTCGGGTCGGGTCGGGCGGGACATTAAAGTATGGTGCATCACCGAGTTGGCACGCGAGTGCCCTAACGGGCGGGACGGGTCGGGTCGGGCGGGCGGACCCTAACGGGCGGGGCGGGGCGGGTCGGGCGGGACATTAAAGTATGATGCATCATCGAGTTGGCAAACGAGTACCCTAACAGGCGGGACGGATCGGGTCGGGCGGGCAGACCCTAACGGGCGGGACGGGTCGGGTCGGGCGGGCGGACCCTAACGGGCGGGACGGGTCGGGTCGGGCGGGCGGTCCCTAACGGGCGGGTCGGGTCGGGTCGGGCAGGACATTAAAGTATGATGCGACATCGAGTTGGCACGCGAGTGCCCTAACGGGCGGGACGGGTCGGGATGGGCGGGCGGACCCTAACGGGCGGGTCGGGTCGGATCGGGCGGGCGGACCCTAACGGGAGGGTCGGGTCGGGCCGGGCGGGACATTAAAGTATGGTGCATCGCCGAGTTGGCACGCGAATACCCTAACGGGCGGGTCGGGTCGGGTCGGGCGGGCGGACCCTCACGGGCAGGTCGGGTCGGGTCGGGCGGGACATTAAAGTATGTTGCATCGCAGAGTTGGCACGCGAGTACCCTAACGGGCGGGACGGGTCGGGCCGGGCGGGCGGGCCCTAACGGGCGGGCCGGGTCCGACCCTAACGGGCGGGTCGGGTCGGGTCGGGTCGGGCCAGGGACATTAAAGTTATGATGATCTCAGTTGGCACGCGAATACCCTAACGGGCGGGACGGGTCGGGTCGGGCGGGCGGACCCTTAACGGGCGGGTCGGCGGGTTCAGGCGGGCGGAACCCTAACGGGCGCGGTGGGTGGGGCGGGCGGGACATTAAAAAGTTGGTGCATTCATCGAGTTGGCCACCTGAAGTACCCTAACAGGCGGGACGGATCGGGTCGGGCGGGCAGACCCTAACGGGCGGGACGGGTCGGGTCGGGCGGGCGGACCCTAACGAACGGGACGGATCGGGTCGGGCGGGCGGTCCCTAACGGGCGGGTCGGGTCGGGTCGGGCAGGACATTACAGTATGATGCGACATCGAGTTGGCACGCGAGTACCCTAACGGGCGGGACGGGTCGGGTCGGGCGGGCGGACCCTAACGGGCGGGTCGGGTCGGGTCGGGCGGGCGGACCCTAACGGGCGGGTCGGGTCGGGCCGGGCGGGACATTAAAGTATGGTGCATCGCCGAGTTGGCACGCGAGTACCCTAACGGGCGGGTCGGGTCGGGTCGGGCGGGCGGACCCTCACGGGCGGGTCGGGTCGGGCGGGACATTAAAGTATGTTGCATCAGAGAGTTGGCACGCGAGTACCCTAACGGGCGGGACGGGTCGGGTCGGGCGGGCGGACCCTAACGGGCGGGTCGGGTCCGACCCTAACGGGCGGGTCGGGTCGGGTCGGGTCGGGCGGGACATTAAAGTATGATGCATCATCGAGTTGGCACGCGAGTACCCTAACGGGCGGGACAGCTCTTGGACCCCTAGAGGGCTCCCAGAGGCCCCCAAGGGGGCTCCAAGAGGCCCCGAAGAGGGCCCAGGAGTACGTTATAAAACAAGGTGTTTTTATAAGCTGGCCTGGTGCCCTGTTGGGCCCGTCTTGGGGCGCCTTTGAGCCCCCCCCGAACCTTCTGGGAAGGGTCCAAGAGGGCCCCTAGAGGGCTCCCAGATGGCTCCAAGGGGGCTCCGAGAGGCCCCCAAGAGGGCCCAGGAGTACGTTATACTAGCCGGCCGCTCTGCGGTTGATCGGGAGTTTCTGTATATAGAAGAAGGTGCGTGCGCTTGTTGGCGAGGGTGAGGATGAGGTTCCTCCTCCTCCTCCTCCTCCTCCTCCTCCTCCTCCTCCATCCTTCTCTTGCCTCCGTCTGTCCTCCTCCACCCCGCAGCTCCATCATCTTCTCCTCCTCCTCCTCCTCCTCCTCCTCCTTCTCCTCCTCCTCCTCCTCCTCCTCCTCCTCCTCCTCCTCATTCCTCCTCTGGGCACCTCCCCCGGGGCGCGGATCCACCGGATCCAGCGGATCTGTCCGGAAACGGTGCCGGAGGCCGCTCTGGGCTCCTCTGGGCACCTCCCCCGGGGCCGGTTTTGTGAGGATGGCTCAAGCGAGGGCGCCGGTTTGGGATTCGTCGGCGGATCCACCGGATCCAGCGGATCTGTCCGGAAACGGTGCCGGAGGCCGCTCTGGGCTCCATGGGCACCTCCCCCGGGGCCGGTTTGGGATTCGTCGGCGGATCCACCGGATCCAGCGGATCTATCCGGAAACGGTGCCAGAGGGCCGGTTTTGTGAGGATGTCTCAAGCGAGGGCGCCGGTTTGGGATTCGTCGGCGGATCCACCGGATCTGTCTGGAAACGGTGCCGGAGGCCGCTCTGGGCTCCTCTGGGCACCTCCCCCGGGGCCGGTTTTGTGAGGATGTCTCAAGCGAGGGCGCCGGTTTGGGATTCGTCACCGGATCCAGCGGATCCAGCGGATCCACCGGATCTGTCCGGAAACGGTGCCGGAGGCCGCTCTGGGCTCCTCTGGGCACCTCCCCCGGGGCCGGTTTTGTTAGGATGTCTCAAGCGAGGGCGCCGGTTTGGGATTCGTCACCGGATCCAGCGGATCCAGCGGATCCAGCGGATCTGTCCGGAAACGGTGCAGGAGGCCGCTCTGGGCTCCTCTGGGCACCTCCCCCGGGGCCGGTTTTGTGAGGATGTCTCAAGCGAGGGCGCCGGTTTGGGATTCGTCGGCGGATCCAGCGGATCTGTCCGGAAACGGTGCCGGAGGCCGCTCTGGGCTCCTCTGGGCACCGCCCCGGGGGCCGGTTTTGTGAGGATGTCTCAAGCGAGGGCGCCGGTTTGGGATTCGTCGGCGGATCTGTCCGGAAACGGTGCCGGAGGCCGCTCTGGGCTCCTCTGGGCACCTCCCCCGGGGCCGGTTTTGTGAGGATGTCTCAAGCGAGGGCGCCGGTTTGGGATTCGTCGGCGGATCCACCGGATCCAGCGGATCTGTCCGGAAACGGTGCCGGAGGCCGCTCTGGGCTCCTCTGGGCACCTCCCCCCGGGGCCGGTTTTGTGAGGATGTCTCAAGCGAGGGCGCCGGTTTGGGATTCGGCACCGGATCCAGCGGATCCGTCCGGCAAACCGTTGCCGGAGGCGGCTCTGGGCTCCTCTCTGGGCCACCTCCACCGGGTGGTTTTACGAGGATGTTCTCAAGGAGGGCGCCCGTGTTTGGGATTCGTCCGGCGGTCCCACCGGGATCCGTCCGGAAACGTGCCGGAGGCCCGCTCTGGGCTCCTCTGGTACCTCCCCCGGGGCCGGTTTGTGAGGATGTCTCAAGCGTGGGCGCCGGTTTGGGATTCGTCGGCGGATCCACCGGATCCAGCGGATCTGTCCGGAAACGGTGCCGGAGGCCGCTCTCGGCTTCTCTGGGCACCTCCCCCGGGCCCGGTTTTGTGAGGATGTCTCAAGCGAGGGCGCCGGTTTGGGATTCGTCGGCGGATCCACCGGATCCGTCCAGGAAAAACGTACCGGAGGCCGTCTGGACTCCGTGCTCTTCGCGCCGGGGGGGGGATGACGTGAGGTTCCACAGAAACTCACTTCAAAAAACATATGTTTTTTACTAGGCGGGGGGGGCCCTCTTGGGCCTGTCTTGGGGCGCCTTTGGGCCCCTCCGAACGCCCTGGGCAGGCTCCGAACGTCTTGGGCCTGTCTTGGGGCCGCCTTTGGGCCCGTCGGAAGGCTCTGGGAGCCCCCCGCCCTCCGTCGAGCCCCCCCGCGGCACG